ACTATGGCAGAGGACACGGGACTAGACACGTTTCATAAGGTCTCCCTGACTCCCCGACCAAGTTGCATAAACAAGGTCGAACCAACACTGAACTATTATTGTTTTCTCTCAGCTTTTAAGATAATATACAAGTCAGAGACATATTAAGATGTTTTCGGCCGCTTTTAAGCAATCCAACTCATTGACTCGTGACTTTGTTGGCCAATTCAACATAAATTAATATACGCATCGCAAATGATTTTTTCCTTTTCAGAACTTAGCCGCTCGTGTTGGCGGGGTAGCTGGAGTCCCTGGCTGGCTCAGTAGCGCGATTGGTGCGGTTGATAGTCCCCCCCCAGCTACGTGTTCTGCTAGCGTGGCTGGAATTGTCAGCAGCAGCGGGAGTGGTGCTGGTTGTGGTGGTAATGATAATTGCAATGCAAGTGGTGGTGGTGCTAGTGTAAGCATTAGCGGAACCGATATTTCCTCAACTAGCTGTCCTTCGATTAGTGCCAATGGAGGCGGAGTTTTTGAACCTTTGGCCACTTCCTGTGGTTCGACTACTACAAAGGAGGCCAATTGCCATGGCGAAGATGAACCATCAGATATTACTAGGTCTGGTGTTACTTCAACTGAATGAAGCAGGAGTTAATTGCATGATTTCAAAGGATCACTCGGATAAATTACTTAACATTTGATGATATTTTACTTATTGTGTGGTCCTCAATTCTTCCAATCTTTCACAGTCGTTATTCACAATATCATTTTCCTATGCGATTAGTTAATTTTGTTTTATGTCGAGTTCATTTTGATGCCGTCTCTTTTCCACACAAAAAATGTTCAACCTCATTGGCCATCTTTCGTCTTTTTCGCTAAAAATTACAGGAAAGTTTATCATTCTTTTCCTCTAATTATCTTATAATTTTTATCCTTTCTATAACTAATTAACTTCTAGTGATAGTACAGCTATTGTGTACTAATGCAGCTACATTCGAGGAACTCGAATATCTTATGTAAAGCATTTTCTTTTGAACTTCTACATAGATTCTTTGTAAGCCTCTTTTATTCTTTAGGAGTCTTATGCTCACAATTTTGTTAATATCTTTTCAGTAACCTTGAATTTAACGTCAATCCACATCTTCATTTCTAGGTATTTATATCACATAACTTTGACAATCCCCCTATTTATAATGCACTCAAATGCTTTAAAATTTCGATCATACTTGTGTAGATACTTTGAATCATTCTCATTAATAACTTAAAAATATATGCCTAATCCCTTTTTTCTTCGCCCATGACTCCTGCTTCGGTTGTCGATACCACTGTTCATTTTGTCAGATTTTCAATTTGTTCAGTCCTCACTCGCCTTAAAAATCAACCGGTTTAAAAAATTCTTGGTAATGCTTGCTTCTCATTCGACATCGTATACAGCCTTTTAGTCATACTATTCTATTCACATTGACCCTTCCTAAATCCGCATCCCTGCGATTTGTCCTCCCTTATTAAAATTTTCTTGGTTTATCAATGATAATCTTACGAAAACCTGATTATTTATGTCTAAATCTTGTTTCCATACTCATGTATTTTAGCTAATCATATTTTTAGGAATATTGTTCCTGTTTTTTGCTTGACTTTGAACGCATTCATACACACCTCACCGCGCGTATGCTGATATTCACCTGAAATATCATGCTTGATATATTTTTTAATTTGAAGTTACTTCGATTTTATTTGAAGATCGCGCTTCGCCTTTGACTCCTATCGCCCTTATCTTTACAATTCCTTCACGCCAACGAAGCCAGTATACATCATCATACACTCCCTCACAAATAACCTTTAAGATCTTGTGCACATCAACCTATTTTTTGTTTCATCAGTTTTTATGCATCTATCATCTAAGCTGCAAGTCTATCCATCTGTGAACCATTGCCCGCGTCATTTATTAGCATTTATTAGCATTGAATGATGCCAAAAATTTAGACATTTCCAATTCCCTGAAGGGAATTGTATGAGATATGCCTATGCATATGTACTTATACTATCTTAAGTGTATGTATTATTTGTAAAGTGTGAACTTTATAGACCC